GCTAGGATTACAGGCGTGAGCCACCGCGCCCGGCCTGGGATCCCTTTTCTTGTCTCTGGAGTTAGGAGAGTCAGGATGGACATCCGTTCCTAGGATTATTGAATTCCAGCCTGTGGTGTGGCTGGGGGACCCCCCCAAGACTATAAGGACCGTATCTGCACTGTTAGGAAACCAGTGAAAGGAGTGAGGGAAACAACCCTACGGGAGCCTTCCAGAGCAGCCTGGGAGCAAAGCAGGCCTCGGGTAGGAGGACGGGCCTTGGAGTCGGAGGGCCAGGTTTGAATTCCAGCCCTGCTGTTTGTAGTTCCATGACCTTGGGCAGCATTTCACGTCTCCATCTAGCGGGGATAGTAGGAGCTCCTCCTAGAGTTATCAGAGTGCTGGGTGCTTCCTTGTGCCCGGCACTTTCCGTCCTCCAGGCAGCACATGCGCCAGGTCTGTGCTGGGCGTTTCATGTGCATTAGTTTGGGTTCCCACAGAAGCAAACACTGAGCCAAGGATTTAAGTGCAAATGGTTTATCTGGGAGAGGATTTCAGGAAGCACCTGGAAGTGAGACAGGAAAAGAACAGGCAGCTATAAAAGGAGTTTCAACCAAGTTACCCCATTGGTAACTGGAGCACAGTATCACTCAGGAGCTGGAGTAGAACATGTTCGGTGCATGTTATTTTCCCCTAATACCACGTTTCGTCCTCTGCCCTTCGCAGGACCAAATCTGTTTCTTCCATGTCTGAGTTTGAAAGTTTGCTCGACTGTTCTCCCTACCTTGCTGGCGGGGATGCCCGGGGCAAGAAGCTGCCCAACAGCCCTGCCTTTTCCTTTGTTAGTACCGAGCCGGTGGATCCCGAGAAAGACACCAAGGAAAAGCCAGGCCTCTCGCCAAGGGATTGCAACCGCCTGGGTGCCCTGGCCTGCCAGGACCCCGCAGGGAGGCAGATGCAGCGCAGCTACACGGCTCCCGACAAGACGGGCATTCGCGTCTACTACAGCCCCCCTGTGGCCCGGCGCCTGGGTGTCCCTGTGGTCCATGACAAGGAGGGCAAGATCATCATTGAGCCCGGCTTCCTCTTCACCACAGCCAAGCCCAAAGAGTCAGCTGAGGCGGACGGGCTGGCCGAGAGCTCCTACAGCCGGTGGCTCTGCAACTTCTCACGGCAGCGCCTGGACGGAGGCTCAGGGGGCAGCCCCTCAGCAGCCGGGCCTGGCTTCCCAGCAACCCTGCGTGACTTCGAGATGTCGGGCAACATGAGCGACGACATGAAGGAGATCACCAACTGTGTGCGCCAGGCCATGCGCTCGGGCTCGCTGGAGAGGAAAGTGAAGAGCACATCCAGCCAGACGGTGGGCCTGGCCAGCGTTGGCACCCAGACCATCCGCACGGTCAGTGTGGGCCTGCAGACTGACCCACCCCGCGGCAGCCTCCACGGCAAGAGCTGGTCACCCCGCAGCTCCTCACTCATGTCCGTGCGCAGCAAGCAGATCTCCTCCTCCCTGGACAAGGTCCATTCGCGCATCGAGCGGCCCTGCTGCTCACCCAAGTATGGCTCACCAAAGCTCCAGAGGCGGTCCGTGTCCAAGCTGGACAGCACCAAGGACCGCAGCCTGTGGAACCTCCACCAGGGCAAGCAGAATGGCTCGGCCTGGGCCCGCTCTACCACCACGCGGGATAGCCCTGTATTGCGGAACATCAACGACGGACTGTCCAGCCTCTTTAGTGTGGTGGAGCACTCAGGGAGCACGGAATCTGTCTGGAAACTGGGCATGTCCGAGGCCCGGGCCAAGCCGGAGCCTCCCAAGTACGGCATTGTGCAGGAGTTCTTCCGTAATGTGTGTGGCCGGGCACCCAGCCCCACCTCGGCAGCAGGAGAGGAGAGCACCAAGAAGCCAGAGCCCCTCTCCCCGGCCAGCTACCACCAGCCAGAGGGCGTGGCCAGGATCCTGAACAAGAAGGCGGCCAAGCCAGGCAGCAGCGAGGAAGCCAGACCCACCATGCTCCCCCAGGTGGGGAAGGATGGTGTCCTCCGAGATGTAGACGGAGCCCTGGTCCTTCCCAGTGAGGTAGGTGGGTGGGGTGGGGG